TGCTCCCTAATAGCAATCACTCTGAATGGGCCCTCGTACCGTAACAATTGTTTCCCTCTGTTGGTTCCAATTCTACGATACACTATTGTTCCGATTTTTAATTCTCCCATTCGGTCACGTACCTGCACATTCTGCCGCGCTACCCGCTTCTCCTTTTCCCGCTGAATTCTCCCCGCTACCTTCCCCCACGTCTTTCCTACCTCTACCCTAGTATTCTGGATCTGCTCTACGAGATGTTCATTGGTCGTTGTTTCCCCCCAATCTCTCCTTGGCCTGCGCATCCCGAATAGTATTTCCACAGGTGAAAACCCCGTTACGGAGTGGATCGAATGGTTGTAAGCTGTTACGGCTTTCTTCATCGCAACATCCGGCTCCAACCCTTTTTCTCCCTGATATACACGGATGTGGTCACTCAACGTGCTGTGCAAGCGTTCGATTCCTCCTCTACTCTTAGGGTGTCCCGGTGTGTTATAATGCCACACAACCTCTAACCTTTTCACCTCCTCCCTAATCGCGGTATTGTCGAATTCTCTACCACCGTCTGATGTGATCCTCTCGGGAACTCCGTAAAACTGTATCCAGATTTGTAGGGCTTCCGCAACTGCATTGGCAGACTTGTCCATGACCTGATGTGCCATAGCTACTTTACTAAAGGTGTCGATGACCGTGACCCACTTGAACCCTTTCCAGGTGAATGTATCGATCTGGAGGTCTTGTAGCGGCATATTCCCTGTAGGTGTCTCTTCCTGAACTCCTCTGGGGGGGTGTCGATCATACTTTGTGCGCATACATACCTCGCATTTCCCGATGATTCCTTGGATAGATTTTTTCATTCCCCACCAGAAATACTTTCGCCGTAATGCCTGCAACGTCTCGTTGACGCCTCGGTGGTTGGTCTTCCCCTGGTGGTATGCCAATGTAATTGCTTGTTGCTGCTCCTCATCCTGTACGGTTTCCACTGCATACTTGCACCGGATGATCGTTCTATCCATGCCTATCCGCTCGGATCTCCACATCCGCTTTATTTTCTCCCATACCGTGTTGTTCCCAACATAGAGATGGTGTGTCTTTCCCGGCTCCGTGGCGTCCTTCAGTGCCGTACGGATTTGCTCCTCGCTCACCCCGGGTTGCGACCAAATGACGCGAATCCTACTTTTCCCGTATCTTCGGTAATCTATTTTCATGATCCCTGTTGTCCTGGTTTTCCAGATTACCTGTCTATGCTTGTCGTTGATGATTTCGTCTATTTCCTCCATCGCCTCTGGTCTTTCCTCCGCTGAGCTATCTTCTTCCGGGGACCCCTCCCTGTCCTCTATACTGACGGTATCATCTGCCCCTTCACCCTCAGGAGTCCATTCCCTCAAGAATTGGCGCACGTCCCGCGATGGACCTCCTCCGTCCTCTTCTACCGCGTTGATCATGATGGCCCTAGAGAGCCAGTCTGCCACCACGTTTTCCTTTCCCGGCTTATACACCACCTCCATGTTGTACTGACTAAGGAATTCTTTCCATCTCGTGACCCTCGCAGAGGTTTCCTTAAGTTTTCCTACCCACTGAAGGGGTTTGTGATCGGTGTGGACTCGAAACTTCCTCCCAAATATATACGGCCTGAAATGGTCGATGGCCCACACTATCGCGAGTAGCTCCCTCTCTAACGCGCTGTACCGTGATTCCGCGCTCGTAAGTCGTCGGCTCGCGTATGCTATCGGACGTTCACCCTCACTTCTGCCCTGAGATAAAACGGCCCCCAACGCGTATTCGCTCGCATCGGTGGTGACGTTGAACTGCTTCTCAAAATCCGGGAACGCCAATACGGGTTCTGCCTGCAACCTATCCATGCATTTCCGAATATTATTTTCCATTTCCGGTGTCACCACGATCCTCGCGCCTTTCTTCAGCAAGTTATTGATAGGTACCAAGTATTCTGCCATCTCAGGTACGAATCTCCTATAATAATTCAGCGTCCCGAGAAGCCTACGAATCCCTTTAACGTCCCGTGGCACCGCCATTCGTGTGATAGCCTCCACCTTTGCCGCATCCGGTCTGACCCCCTCGCTAGAAATAGTGTGGCCTAAAAAATTGATTCGCGTTTGTCCCAACAGGGACTTCTCACTTGACAGTTTCAGCCCGAATTGTCGCAGCCTTTCGAATACCGACCTCAAATGCCCCACGTGTTCGGCTTCCGTTCTGCTAAAAATCAACAGGTCGTCCATGTATACTTGACATACGGAGTCGTCGATCCCCCTCAGAAATTCGTCCATCAGGCGTTGAAACGTTATGGGCGCATTCTTCAGACCAAACGGCATTCTGGTGAATTCGTAATGCCCCCTTTCGAATGTAAACGCCGTCTTATGTTGGTCCTTCGGGTGCATCCGTATTTGGTGGTATCCCGCCTTGAGGTCCAACGTGCTAAACACCACGGCCCCACTCAACCTATCAAGTATATCTTCGAATCTAGGGATCGGGTACTTTTCGTCTACCGTGTTGTCGTTCAACCTACGATAGTCCACTACCACTCTGTATTTTTCCTTATTATCCCCCGGCGCTGCCTTCTTTTTCACTGCCCACAGGGGACTATTAAATGGCGAGGTGCTATCGACTATGATCCCTTGCTCTTTCAGGCTTTCCAATTCCTCCCGAATATGCTGCCTCATCGCCTGCGGGTATCTCCTTTCCTTTACGTAGGTCACCCTATCTTGCTTCAGTGGAACTTCGTGTACCGTCTTCCCTGTTACCACCCATACCTCGCCCTCCCTGAAGAAAATATCTACGAACTCCGCTTGTAACGCCTTTCTCCAGTCATCCACCCTGTTCACCGCTCCTATCCGCTCCCATCGATCTCTCGCGCCCCCTATACATCCAAATTTCCTCTTTCCCAGCCTGATACTCCAAGCTCCTCTACGGTTTCTAATGCTTACCCCTACCTGTCCTAACAGATCACACCCTATTATGACTTGGTACTCCCGCGCCATGCTCTCTACCACATGCACCCTTAGCTCCCCCTTTTTCCCTGTCCACCGGTCAAGCGTAATTGACGCTTCCCCTTCTACTTTACAGGGACCACCCAGAGTGATTAGCTGGCAGCCACAGTTTTGTATCCGGAGTACCCTCTCGCTCCCGCACACTCTCCCCAACGCCCCCCGAGTCAAGATAGTACTCGAGCTCCCTGTGTCCACGAGACACTTCACTCCCCGATCTACTTCAATAATCGGCAACCAGCATGGCTTACCTCTAATATTGTTGCAGGTTGCTGTGCGGTCGCCTCTCTGCTGACACCCTTCTCAGATGCCACCTCGCTTCCTCCTTACCGCCGTCGCTCGTCGTTGCTCGCTCCGTTGGCTGCTCCTGCCTCCTTCGCCTCCACTGCTGGCTGGCTCGTCAGTCTCCGTTCCCGACGTCCCCGACTCCTCGGTTGCCTCTTCCGAAGATCCGTCTCTCTGCTGCATCCTAGCTCGTTTTTTTAACTTTTGAGCGTTCACCTCCATTGGCTCGTCTAGAGGTCTCTCCCTCCTGCGAAACATGTACGGGCACTGTCTGGCAATATGCCCTTCAGTCCCGCACTCGAAACATCTAGTGCGCGGACATTGTGCTACCAAATGTCCCGGTTTCCCGCACCCGTGACATTTTCGGTCTTCCCTCCGGGGTCCATTCCTAGGCCTGGACTGTCCGGATCTTCTCTCGCCCGTCGTGGCTTTTTCTCCGTTCGGGTGTTTCATTTCCCTCTTCCTCCACCCTATCTGGGCTGTCCGGGGTCGTCTGTCACTCACTCGGGTCCACCCTGGTTCTTCTACTTCCATCCGCGTCTCTTCCTCTCTTGCACTCAGATCTATCATTTCTTGGGCACACTCGAGGAACGATCGCTCTCTAGGCAGTCCGTCCCTTCTCCCAGTCTCCTTAGCTAACTGAACCTTGAGTATTGTCGAAAGGAATTCCATCCTAGCCTCGACCTCTCCCACACTCATGGTTTCACGCATTTTCTCAGTTATGCGGTTGTACTTCGCCACTAGTACCCCCGCATACTGTCCTCTTGTTTGGCGTTGGGACCGACACTCCCTAAACATTTGGAAGATATCTTCTTCCGGCGTCCATCGGCCTCCTCCGAAAGCCTTCTTCAAACGCTCCTTAATCACTGGCCATGGTGTCTCCTCGTCCGCTTGGATTTGGTTGAGGATGTTCCTCCTCACTCGGCACACGAGAGCTGCCTTCAGTGCTTCTGCGTCTCCCAGGTTCACGAGGTCCTCCGCCACCTTTGCTTCGATTCTTGATATGAGGCGGTCTCCGCCTTTCAGGAAGTGATTAAGTTCACCTATCTCGCCCCCGAATCGCTCCAGGTCTGCGATTGCTCTCCGTAGATCCTGCGTGGTTGCTGCCCTTATCTTCATCCACTCCAATGCATTGGCATGCGCCTCTGCCAATGTGTCCCTAGGTAAGGGAGGGATCTCTTGTATCTGCGGTACTTGAGGTATCTGAGGTATCTGCGGAATCTGCGGAACCTGAGGGGCGATCTGAGGAATCTGCGCTATCGGCATTTCCTGAGGTTGCGGCATTTCAGGTGCGTTCAACACTCCTGGTCGAATTATGCCCTCTGTCGGCATCTCGTCTTTTCCTTATGACTAGGAGAAGAGAGAAAAAAAAATTAAAATAAAGACAGAAAAAAAAATTTTACTTCCGTGTTCTCCTGACGTTCTCCCGGGTTTCGGCACCAGTTAAGCGTCTCCGGGCTTTAAAAATAAAAAAAAAGAAGGAAAGAGGAACGAGAAACAATACTCACGGCTTCTGAATAAACACTGCTTTATTCGTCCAATAATCTGCCTTATATACAATTGCTATGTTTATTTACATTACAAGATGGTATTAAGGCTGATATCGCCAGTCTCCGGTCTTTATCTTATATATATATATATATATATATATATATATATATATTGTTATTGATTAAATGTAGTTGACAATTATTATACACATAATGTTATGCTTGATGCTTAATGTTGTTTGTTTAGGTTACAGATTCTCATGTTATTTTGCACAACCTAACCATGAGCAAAAGGGTTCCTGACTCCTTGTTAGTTGCAGCTACATCTCACTGCGTGAATAAAGTGTGTTATTACTTATAAAGGTTTTATTATAACTATTACATATTTTTCAATCTATCAAAGTGTGATCTGTAACTGTTTTAGATGCTGAAGATGGCAGGAACAAAGTTATTGGAACCTATAATGGAAGTCAGTATAGCTGTTGAAGACTCATATCTTCAATCTGTTTTAGGTGACCTGACAAGGCGTAGAGCTAATGTTCTAAATATTTCATCAAAATATGATATAAAGGTAATGTATTTTCCTTGTGGTTCAATGGAAAGTGATCCACAAGATGTTTTTTTTTAAATTGGTTTGCTTTAATTTATATTCTTTATTAGTATATTAAATCTTGTTGAAATAATTAGACATTTTAATAAAAACCAAAAAACTAAGAAAACAGAAAAAAAATATGTTATTTTGAGGTTAATTTAAATTAGAACTACCAAAAGTAAAGTTAGCTTTAGATTAAGTTTCACTTAAATAGGTCGAATAAATGTATTTTTATTTATAGATTTATGAACTAGTGTGTAATTTATCAGTTCAATATGATATTAAAAATAAAAGGTTCTTAGTGTCATTATTTGGTCTACAGAAAGTTTTGTAATAATAAAATCTATGGATTTTTCATTAATTTTAATAACAATTCATGTATTCAATAATTGGCCTTTTTAGTAAGAAGAAAGTTCTTCCCTTAGTCAATTATTGTTTTATCATAAAGATCAGATTGTAGAGAAAACTAGTATACAAGGTGTGCTGTATGCTAAGGGATATATTCAAAGAGGTGATAGCAGATTTCATGAGCTACAAAGCAGTTTATATAACCATGCTTGGGTGCCCACAAGGGGGTCACATTTCGGCACAGTTATGAATTTTCGGATTGAAAAGTTTTAAACAAAGAGACAAAGGGAATTGATAGAACAAACCTTAGCAAGTGTAATTGTATATGATTTAGGGTACTTTAATTTCTAATGTTTTTAAGAAGAGAAGAGCAATAAAAAATCTTGAGGAGGAGAGGGAGAAGGTTCATGCACCATCGATCTTGGGGGGATGGGCACTCCTGTAACCATGCTCCGATTTTCTGTAAAAAAGTAGGAAATTAAAGTTTTGTCTTTTTTTAAGTAAGCCGCATCTTTGGTTGAATAGGAAGCTATAACTAATAAAATATTTAATTGAGGCAATTGAAAATTGTTTATAGTAAACTAGACAAAATTTACTTTAAAGTCAAATAGACTTTGTATTTGTTAAAAGCATTTAAATGGGATTTTTAAGTGGCTAAACTATGCCATGTTCTCTCCTTACTTCTTGCCTATTAGTCTAATTTAATAAACAATTATTCTCAGTTTATAGTGTTATTCTTTATTATTTTTATTTCTGTGTTACAGGGATGCTTTGTCATCCTCTTCAGCATATAATAATTGCATTTATAAAAAAAAAAGAAATGACCGTTTTATCAAATTCAAGATTTCAAAGGACTCTAAATATTTTAATCCTATTTAATATTTACCAATACTTAATAATCCCTTTAAAGCATTATCGATTTCTTCATAAAAAGCCTCAGTTTAGTTATTTGTTTCAAAGAAGAAACATGAGTGTCCTACGAAATTCTCGTAATTTTAAGGCATTACTGGAAAAAAAAAATTCAAAGCTCCTGAAGCAATTTGTGAAATTATTAAATATGAAGGGGAAGGTGTCCTTGACAAACGCATTGCGCAACGTTGGTTTGAAAAAATTAGCAGTGGAGATACGATGCTGGAAAGGAAGAAGGGCCCCGAGCGACCATTAATGGTTATTGATGAGGTTCTGTAGGAAGCTGTTAAGTCAAATTCATCCACCAGTACTAGCAAACTTGCATGGGAGTTTGCTGTGTCGAAAGGTACTGTTACTCGCCATCTACTCTCCATGGAGAAGGTGAAAATGAGCAGTAGACTGGTCCCTCACAAACTTTGTTTGTTTGTTTATTATATAAATCTAAATATATAAAAATGAATGTATGTCTGTCTGTCTGTTTGTCCTTTGTGCATTACTAAACCATTCATCCGATCGCCATGAAACTTTAGGAAGTTGTTCCGTACACTCCTGGGAAGGTTTCTGGCATAGTACTTCTGTCTTACGATAATTTTATATATGTAAAATAAAATAAAAATGTACATGTTTTTCTGTTCAAAGCCGAAAAAAAATGTGTCTCTATAAACTGTAGCGCCAAAACGGCTTTACCGATTTTAACGAAACTTGGTTAAAGTCTTCTCCTTGAAACCCTTTTTATTTATGTGTATAACATACTTTCCCGAAAACAAGCTGAAAAATGTTACGATGAATTCAATATCCTATTTGCTGATAACTAAAAAAGTACACAATTTTTGATTGATAATACCCATATTTATATGAAAGATTTCTGAATTGCTGACAAAATAAAATAAAAATCATCGAAATTGGACGATTCCTTGCAGAGTTATAGAGTTTTAAAGATTTTCTGCTTTCTCTTCAGAAAAGGGCCATTTCCTTTTGCTTCCTCACTACCGAAGGTCGGCAAGCATTTCTTTTATTGATTAATCGAAAATTTTATAATTACTGCAGTAATTGAAATTATCATTTGAAGAAGTTATATGATTCTCCTTATGTAGGTCAATACTATTATACTTTTTTATATTACTTTTTTAATTTAGTTTTATAAATTCAACTCCGACTGTTTCTGATGATTATGAATGATGGCGTATTCACTCAGATGATTATTTGAATGTGAATATGATTGAATATGATTCAATTTGAATCATGAGAAGAAAAATCATTAGAATTAGTATAAATTACTGACAAATTTGTTTCCAAAGTTTTTAAAAATGACAGATGTCCTTTGCTACTAATCTACTCATCTACTCATATGTGCTTTCTATTTTCTTTCTTTTTCATTTTGCCAGATTAAGCCACAGCAGCGCGGGGCCGGGTAAAGCTAGTATTAAATAAAAAAGAAAAATATAAAAGATAAAAATTAATTGAATTTTTATATTTTGTTTAGTAACCTATGGGTTTTAACGAAACTGATAACTGCTTCTATGTTTGATTCATTATTATTTAAAATAACTGAAACGTCTGGTCTAAGAGATAATCTATTTAAGTTTGAGATATTATAAGGGCATTCCTGAAAAATATGACTGACCGTGAGAGGGCTATTGTAGTATTGGCATGTTGGAGGTGGCTGTTTATTGATAAGATATAAATGGGTCAAATTCGTATGACCTATTCTTAACCTGGTCACGGCAATATCTTCCCTGCGATTAGAATCCCAGTTAGTGGCCCAGTGCTTTACTAATTGTTTGATGACCTTTAATTTGCTTAGTGGGCTCTCGTTCCATATAGACTGCCAGCTATCCGATATTTCCTTTTTGAGAGGAAAATTCATTTCTGGAGGAGATGCCATTACATCGAGCTGGGAGCATGAGTGCTTGCTTGGCAGTCATATCTGCAAGCTCATTACCAACTATTCCCACGTGACCGAGAATCCATATGAAGAATAGAGATTTTCCTAAATTTTCGAGAATATTGATGTATTTGTGAATTTTTAGAATAATGGAGTGTTTTGAGTACATGTCGTTTAAACCTTTTAATGAACCCAAAGAGTTGGCAATTAAAACTATTGTATTTGAGGTTATTAACTCAGAAGTGGAGGGCTAAGGCTATTGCACGAAATTCCACTTTTCCGCTATTTGACGAAAGCTAATTCCTCGTAAATTTCCTGGATATGATCTCCTTACCCCTCACATCCTTCGACAACTTCCATCCAAAGCAGTCATATTCCTTACATATATCTACAAATGCATAGTAAGTACCACCCACTTTCCTCTATTATGGAAACACTCCACAACACACCATGATCCTTTTTCCAAAACCAGGCAATCCTCCCAAAAGCTTGACATCCTATAGACCAATTAGCCTACTCCCAATCCTTTGAAATCATTGAAATCATTGAAAAGATCCTTTTGAAACGACTCGTACCACTCATAGAATCCCAAAATCTTCCTTCCCATCAGTTTGGTTTTCACTCAAAACATTCCACTGTTCAACAAGGACTTCGAGTCGTTGATCATATATCAGCAGCATTAGAAAACAAGAAGTACTGTTCGGGTACATTTCTGGACATAGCACAGGCTTTTGACTGGGTATGGCACCCCGGGCTGCTCTACAAGCATAAAATCCATCTCCCTCAGTCCTTATACCTAATCCTTTGATCTTATCTCTCTGACTGCTCCTGTCGAGTACGCTGCGGAACGGCATTTTCCGATATTTATCCAATTAAAGCCGGTATTACCCAGGGCTGCGTCTTAGGTCCCGTGCTTTACATCCTCTTTACCGCTGACATCCCTGATCATTCCGATACCTTCCTTGCAATATTTGCTGATGAAACCGCAATCCTATCATCCAACTCAGATCCTGAAATAGTATCCTTAAATCTACAAAGGTACCTCTCCCTTATTGAGCACTGGTGTGATGAATGGCGCATTAAAGTGAATGAGTCGAAATGCAAACATATTACCTTTACTCTCCGACACAATTCCTGTCCACCAGTACAGTTTAATTCCATCCAGTTTCCTTACTCAGACACAGTCCAGTATCTTGGCTTTCTCTTGGACCGAAGACTGACATGGAATCCACATACAAGACTCAAAAGACAAGAACTCAACCGACGATATGGCCAGCTATATAGACTACTGAACAGAAAAACTTTCAATTGACAACAAACTACTGATCTACAAGACAATACTGAAACCTATTTGGACACGGACTAGAACTGTGGGGGACAGACAAATTTTCTAACATCAAACGCATTCAATCCTTTCAGTCCAAAGTTCTTTGAACAATAGTTGATGCTCCGTTCTATGTAACCAACCAAACCCTACACCATGACTTTAATATCCCATTAGTCCTAGACCTTATCCCTCAAATTTTTTCCAAATTCCACCAAAACCTTACATATCATCCAAATCCAATTGCACAATCCCTCTCTAGCTCTTCTCATCCCTACAATCCTCCTCAAAGGTTGAAGCGGCAGTGGCCCAAAGACTTGTAAGAATATATTGAAGTTCTGGCAATGACCAGATTCTTCACTCTAGCCATATATGTCTGGTTATAGTGTCTCTGCTCAGCCTTCATTGGTAATATCATTGATGCGGCTGAATGAAAGACGCTGGGATCTCCGAGTGTCCTGCCTTCCTCCACGAGTGTGGGGAAAGGCTTGGCTCTGAGATCTTGAGTGACTT